TCTCACTTTCAACCTTACGTCATTCCTTGCGGTGAGTTAATCCCTTTTTATTTTGTATAACTGACACAAATAACTTTTGGCAGTCGTCTGTGTTAGAGGTGTGTTTGCTTAACTATTTAAAACTATTCTAATCCACCGCTCACCTGATCTTGGTACAGCCCCACCCTTTCTCACCTAAAAGCACCAACAAGCTGAGTGTGTGGTGACAGGTGCAGCCCTGTCCTGTCCTCCATCTCATCACGGTTGAGTGGAGTTCATAAAATACTTTGTTTTGTGATTGTGGACACTGCATTATACGACGTGTGAAGTGTGCGCAAGACATGCTTTTGGTTCATAAAAGAGCATTAAAGAGAATGGCCTTTTACAATGTGTTTTATTTGAATAGTTTTATTGAGCATTATAAAAAGTCACAATGCATAAATACAGTAGGCTTCAGGGTTGAATTACTGCTGTTATTTCAAAGATGACCGAATATTCGCTATCCTCTACTAAACTAAAAGGCACCATGGTAAAACGAACTGTAAAAAGTGTAATTCTCCTCTCTGTTAACAGCGACCAAAATGCTGTTAACTTTAAAGGGCCTGTATTACACAAAACTGACTCTTTTGAGCTTTAAGACATGTTGTAATGTTGTTACCTTCTCAAAAACAGACCTGGAGTTGTGTTTTGTTTCATTCACACACATTTGAGTAACGCTTTATTATTAATCTGTCTACATCTCCAAAGCTCAAAACCTTGTGATGTCATTTAGCTGTAGTTTTCAAGTTGACGTCTACATTTATTTGGGATTGGGATTGGGAATTCCAGGGCTGAAATCATCCAAATCATTCTAATGAAGGTGTGTGGAGTTTCAAAACACAGTGGAGCACTTCCTGTATTACCACATGACATCACAAGGTGGAACAGATTGTTTTCTATTTGAGAGAGAAAAAATAATATACAGGATTTGTGTCTTAAACCTGTGTAAATGAAATAAAACACAACTCCAGGTATGTTTGTGACGAGGAAACAACATTATAACATGGATCAGATATTAGTTTAATATATAAAAAAACAACTAACACTATGACATCACAAGGTGGAACGGCGCACTTTGAGCTTTGGAGATGTAGACATACTGATACTAAAGGGTTACTCAAACATGCGGAAATGAAACAAAACACAACTGCAGATATGTTTTTGATAGTGGTGTGCAAAATATTGAAATATCGATATATCGTCTCGTTTAATGTGATGATACAGTATCGATATCATGAGCTGCTGTATCGATATATATCACCAAGAGTATTATTTGGTATATTTTACTGAATTATTTTGTTACAGCGTTACAGTTTTGTTGCTTGTTTAGTAAAAGGAATCTCGTTTATGCAACACATTTGGCATTTTCACTGTTTTGAGGATAAAAATGGGAGGGTGTTCATGTTAAATTTGCACAAGAAGTTTCAACAAGTTCAAAAGGAGCGCTCCCTGGACCTCGAGAGGATAATACACATAGACAGAACGCAGTGGTGGTGCTCTTTGTGGAAGGGAAGTCAATTTAAAGGTGCAAAAACCCCCAAGACAGTCGCTGGTTAAAATAAAATGCCTTTATTAATTCACAGCATGTCTTACAAAGCCCCGATGTGTTTCAGCCTATGGTTTTCCTCAGTGGACAAAAAAAAACACTTGTACAAGAAGTGGTTTAACAAAGAGTTTTAGTATCACAGCCATGATTTAGCTTTTATTTTTATTGAACTGCATCAGATCGATTTGAAATATATTGTATTGAACCAAAAGTGCACTGTATCAAGATCTGTATCGTATCGTGGCCTATGTATCGAGATCTGTATCGTATCGTGGTCTATGTATCGAAATCTGTATCGTATCCTGGCCTATGTATTGAGATATGTATCGTATCGTGGCCTATGTATCGAGGTACGTATCATATCGTGGCCTGTGTATCGAGATCTGTATGGTATCGTGGCCTATGTATCGAGATCTGTATCGTATCGTGGCCTGTGTATCGAGATCTGTATCGTATCGTGGCCTGTGTATCGAGGTCTGTATCGTATCGTGGCCTGTGTATCGAGATCTGTATCGTATCGTGGCCTGTGTATCGAGATCTGTATCGTATCGTGGCCTGTGTATCGAGGTATGTATCGTATCGTGGCCTATGTATCGAGATCTGTATCGTATCGTGGCCTGTGTATTGAGATCTGTATCGTATTGTGGCCTATGTATCGAGATCTGCATCGTATCGTGGCCTGTTTATCGAGATCTGTATCGTATCGTGGCCTATGTATCGAGGTATGTATCGTATCGTGGCCTATGTATCGAGATCTGTATCGTATCGTGGCCTGTGTATCGAGATCTGTATTGTATTGTGGCCTATGTATCGAGATCTGTATCGTATCGTGGCCTATGTATCGAGATCTGTATCGTATCCTGGTCTATGTATCGAGATCTGCATCGTATCGTGGCCTGTTTATCGAGATCTGTATCGTATCGTGGCCTATGTATCGAGGTATGTATCGTATCGTGGCCTATGTATCGAGATCTGTATCGTATCGTGGCCTGTGTATCGAGATCTGTATGTGTATCGTGGCCTCTGTATTGAGATATGTATCGTATCATGGCCTATGTATCGAGGTACGTATTGTATCGTGGCCTGTTTATCGAGATCTGTATGGTATCGTGGCCTATGTATCGAGATCTGTATCGTATCGTGGCCTGTGTATCGAGATCTGTATCGTATCGTGGCCTGTGTATCGAGGTATGTATCGTATCGTGGCCTATGTATCGAGATCTGTATTGTATCGTGGCCTGTGTATCGAGGTATGTATCGTATCGTGGCCTATGTATCGAGATCTGTATGGTATCGTGGCCTGTGTATCGAGATCTGTATCGTATCGTGGCTTATGTATCGAGATGTGTATCGTATCCTGGCCTGTGTATCGAGATCTGTGTATCGAGATCTGTGTATCGAGATCTGTGTATCGAGATCTGTATCGTATCGTGGCCTGTGTTTTGAGATTTGCATCGTATGGGCAGCTTCTTAATGATACCCAGCCCTAGTTTTTGACATGGATTTTTTTTTTTATGGATTTTTTTAGATTTTTTTCGACATGGATGGTTTTTGACAACAGGATTAGAACATGTTTTAAAGCTCACAAGAGTAAACTTTGAGTAACATCGGAGCTTTAACTGTAAAATGAGTAAGTTCTAAGAGTAAAAGTGCTTCAGCGGACATTTGTTTTCACTGCATTTGCTCTAGACTTAAAAGGCCGGGCATAGGTCAGTGGAGATCAGGGCGAAAGGCAGTTTTTCCAGTGAAGAGGCAGAGTCAACAGTTTAGAACGATCAATAACATTTGCCATTCAAACCGAGCCAAGAGTGACTGATGCAAAGCCCTATGCAAACCCGCACGATGCTCAGAACATCACCACTTACCTCCCCTACTCTTGAGCTATTATGGAAATGTACGACGCAGACTGCTAGAAGAGGTTTGCATAAGTAATGTCTCATGTTAGTTCACCAGGTTAGTTCATGTTTTGTAATGTTTATTTTGTCTCCATCTTTCTCTTTTCACCAAGAATAATGGGTTTGCCTAAGGGTCCGGTCAAGCAGATTAAAAAAATTAAAGGGCCGCATATGGTCCCCGGGCCGTAGTTTGCCCACCCCTGGTCTATGTAGTTCCCTCTGTGTTTTTTTGGGGTTTTTTTAGCTCTGTTCTGTCAAGCGGTAACGGAGGGAAATGGGCAGATTTTTTTTACATTCAAATGTCTCTTATTCAGAAACTAGAGGGACTATTGAAATAAGTAAAGTATCAGAATGTAGGAAAGAGTTACACTCCAACAGGGTAAAGTTAAACCTGTGATATTCTTTCAAGTTGTTGACAAAAAATTTAAAAAAACTCATGTTGGTAACGGAGGGAATGAAATATGCAGCACTTTTTGGGCAATAAATCCAAACAGTGATAACTCTTGGTTCTCACTTACATATCCTTAACAAACTGGTTTGAATATTTGCTTCATATAGTTTTCTACCATATGGTACAAGATTAGGTTGAAAAACCTCTTACTTTTTGAGTAATGAGATTTTTTATTAAGAAAGGTCATGGTAACGGAGGGAAAAGTAACGGAGGGAAAATTGTTCAAACAAGTAGAAGGTGCATGATTTTACATAATTTGTTGCTTTTCTCTTCCAAATACTTTAATATTACTTCAAAATGAAAGGAAACTATTTCTATAAAATATGTCAGTCCTTCCAAGCAAATTTTTATCATTTTAAATACATTTTTTTTTTTTTAAATCATGTACCTTCATCAACAGTTCAAAGATGGAATAACACAAGATATGATGAAATACATCCATTTATTTACATGATTTGCAGGTCTTTGAAATTTGGGAAATAATTTTTGTTCCATGTTTCATACATGGTCTGTTTAAAATGTATGTAACTTTAGAACCAAAAATGGTACAGAAAAAAGGTAAACAGTTTCATAAACTAGAGTACATATGTATCTGTTCAATACATTTTTATATCAGATGCATTAACTTGAATTTTTGGCCTTGCTGTTTACTTCTGCTTGACCGTGCCCCTAAGTATTTTTATTTATTTTCTGTAATTTTTTGAATATATTTTGTCCAAATGTCCCATGTTAGTTCACTGTGGTAGTTTTTTCTTTTTTATTATTATTTTTGTCTCAGTCTTTCCATTTTCAGAGAAATAAAATCAAAACAAAACAAAACATGGCTCCCAAACAAGTTCTGAAAAGGAATTTGACTTGATAATTTGAACATTTTGAGGTTTGGAGAGTAGACGGTCTAATAATAAAGGGTTACTCAAACATGTGAGTGAAGCAAAACACAACTCCAGGTCTGTTTTTGATGAGATAACAAGCTTTAAGAAGTGAAGTCAAGTGAATCCATCCTACACTAGCTGCTTTGTATTTTCTCGCTCTTTATTGACCTGTGCTCTCTGTCTCTTTCCTCCTCCTCCTCCTCCTCCTCCGTCTTCAGGCCTGGATTCGGACGAGTCGTGCGAGGGCGTGTCTGAGGCCAGCTTTAAAGACGCGGTGGTGTCCCAGAAAAACAATGGGGCGGTGCCTCAAGAGAACGGCATCAAGAAACACAGGTAGAGCTGCATTCTGTTCTGCGGCTAATTAAACACACAACACAACACTGATACTATTGCTGTTTGTGTGTGTGTGCATGTGTGTGTGTGTGTGAGATATGTTATGACATATTGACACAAGTTATGTAAAGATTATGTAGTGGAATGCCGACATGATTCATCCATTGCAACAGTAGTTTTCCACAGTTTGGTTTAGAATAAAATGAGTGGTTGTAATTTCCTTTTGTAACACAGTGCGGTAACTGAAGGGGTCGTCGTGTTTATATACATCATTTTTTTGTTGTTTTTTTCCATTGTCAGCGTAGCCAGTGTAAACGAGTTGCACAGTTTTTTTGGCAGATTGAAAACATCAGTGGCTCTTCTGAATAGGGATGGGAAATACCAGTTCACCGTGACCACCCACTCTGGTCCCGGAAGTACATTTTCCATTCATTTTCCCCGTGGAAAATATAAAATATTAACAGTTCAGAGACATTATGGAGGTTAAGCACTAACATAAAGCTGTAGTTCTGAGTCCAGAAAGAACTTTTAAAACACAAAGTTTATGGAAAAAATTGATCTGTTACATAAGGATGAGTTGGACAGTTGTAAGGAGTATTATCTGTTGCATAAGGATGAGTTGGACAGTTGTAGGGAGTATTATCTGTTACATAAAGATGAGTTGTGCAGTTGTAGGGAGTATTATCTGTTACATAAGAATGAGTTGTGCAGTTGTAGGGAGTATTATCTGTTACATAAGATGAGTTGTGCAGTTGTAGGGAGTATTATCTGTTACATAAAGATGAGTTGTGCAGTTGTAGGGAGTATTATCTGTTACATAAGAATGAGTTGTACAGTTGTAGGGAGTATTATCCGTTACGTAAGAATGAGTTGTGCAGTTGTAGGGAGTATTATCTGTTACATAAAAATGAGTTGTACAGTTGTAGGGAGTATTATCTGTTACATAAGAATGAGTTGTGCAGTTGTAGGGAGTATTATGTTGCATAAGGATGAGTTGTACAGTTGTAGGGAGTATTATCTGTTGCATAAGAATGAGTTGTGCAGTTGTAGGGAGTATTATCTGTTACATAAAGATGAGTTGTGCAGTTGTAGGGAGTATTATCTGTTACATAAGGATGAGTTGTACAGTTGTAGGGAGTATTATCCGTTACATAAGAATGAGTTGTGCAGTTGTAGGGAGTATTATGTTGCATAAGAATGAGTTGTACAGTTGTAGGGAGTATTATCTGTTACATAAAAATGAGTTGTACAGTTGTAGGGAGTATTATGTTGCATAAGAATGAGTTGTGCAGTTGTAGGGAGTATTATGTTGCATAAGAATGAGTTGTGCAGTTGTAGGGAGTATTATGTTGCATAAGAATGAGTTGTACAGTTGTAGGGAGTATTATCTGTTACATAAGAATGAGTTGTGCAGTTGTAGGGAGTATTATCTGTTACATAAAAATGAGTTGTACAGTTGTAGGGAGTATTATCTGTTACATAAGAATGAGTTGTGCAGTTGTAGGGAGTATTATCTGTTACATAAAAATGAGTTGTACAGTTGTAGGGAGTATTATCTGTTACATAAGAATGAGTTGTGCAGTTGTAGGGAGTATTATGTTGCATAAGGATGAGTTGTATAGTTGTAGGGAGTATTATCTGTTGCATAAGAATGAGTTGTGCAGTTGTAGGGAGTATTATCTGTTACATAAGGATGAGTTGTACAGTTGTAGGGAGTATTATCTGTTGCATAATCTCTGTTGATTTCTATATTGGTGTGTATAAATTGCTGATAATGGCATTGGCTGATATTGAAAGAATATGGAGATTTTTATTATTTTTATCTCTTCAGTGCATCAAATTGGTCTTTGTGAACAGACTAATGAGTCCAAGAAATAAAAAAAGAACAAAAAAAAACCATTTAATTTTTACAAAAGTGAAAGGTTGTTTTGTGATCAACTTAAGATATTGTCATGGACATTATTTTTCTTTCTGAAGCCTTGTGAGTTGTAGAATAGAAAGTAGGTTTATTTTTTGTTGGAGCAGATATGGTCAGGACAGGTCTCTCTGGCTACGTTCAGACTGCAGGGCTTAACGCTCAATTCCGATTTTTTTGTGAAATCCGATGTTTTTGCGAGGTCGTTCACATTTCCAATTAAATGTGACTTGTATGTGACTCCAGTGTGAACGTTAAACGGCCCGAAAGTGTCCCACATGTGCACTGGAGACACGATGACGGCAACCTCAGTGAGCGTGCTCTGTGTTTACGGAAGTTGTCCAAACATGGACGCAGCATTGAGCACCTGGAGATTTTAAAGTTCCTCTCGTACCGGAGCCAGAACATGAACAACTTACTTGTTTTAAAGAGGAGATTGAGAAGGAGAAGGACGAGGTTTTTGGCCGTGGTGTTTTGTGGGGCAGCGGCAGCGACGTCCGTTGAAAGGAACGTGTGGATGTGGAGACGGAGCCAAGAGTGGTGAGTGGTGATGTGCTTCGCTTCAGTGACACGGAGTTCATTAACAATTTTCGCCTACTTCAGCGCAGAATAGTGACGTTTGTGGCTTGTTGATAACGTGTAGGTCGGATGGATGCGCCTTGACCGTTCAGACTGAAGTCGCATGTCAAAAGATCAGATATGTATCGGTTTCAGGACCACATATCGAAGTGTCCTGGGTCGCATTTGAAAAAATCGGATCTGTGTCGTTCAGACTGTCATTGAAAGATCAGATACAGGTCACATAGGGGCCAAAAAATCAGATTTGGGTCACTTCGGGCTGCAGTCTGAACGCAGCCTCTGAGTGTCCCCTCTCTTCCTCCAATCCCCAGAGCCTCTGAGCTCGCAGTATTTATACAAGAATAACAAAACATCAAACATTACAAAATGACTGGGTGGGTCTCATGGGGAGGAGGTGTGACTGGGCGGCCCTCGATGACACTCACGGTTTGGCTGCAGGATTAACATGTGTACGTGTGGAGTTAAAACAATACAAGGTGTGGTACATTTTAAGGGAGAGAGATTTGAAAGACAGATGTTTGGCTCTGATTGTATCTGTCTGTAAATATTATTGACCTGATACCTGAGGAGAACAACAAACAAGATCGAACAAAACAGTGTTACATTTTCTAGAAAAGTCTATAAACCTAAATGACTCTAAAGATAAAATAAAACCCAGTATTTTATTTTACATTACAGATATATTTGTAGACAGTGTTGGGAAGGTGACTTTTAAAATGTAATCCCCTACAGATTACAGATTACACACCCCAAAATGTAGTTTGTAACGTAATCCATTAAATTACTTAAAGTGAGTAATGTAATCTGAATACTTTGGATTACCTGACTTTCTGTAGAGAAGCAAAGACGAGGAAATCTTCACATAAGATGTTTTGTCTGCTAAAAGAAAATAAAAAAGCCGAGTCTTTACTTAACCGTATTAAAAATATTACTGATAGAAGAAGAGGAGACATGGTCCACGCAGTATGATTTAGTCCTGTTAAATCCTGTTTGAGACATAGTTTAGACCCGGTTTTAGTCCTGGTTTTGACCTGGTTTAGACCTGGTTTAGACCTGGTTTTAGACCTGGTTTTAGACCTGGTTTAGACCTGGTTTAGACCTGGTTTAGACCTGGTTTTAGACCTGGTTTAGACCTGGTTTTAGACCTGGTTTTAGACCTGGTTTTAGACCTGGTTTTAGACCTGGTTTTAGACCTGGTTTAGACCTGGTTTTAGACCTGGTTTTAGACCTGGTTTAGACCTGGTTTAGACCTGGTTTTAGACCTGGTTTAGACCTGGTTTTAGACCTGGTTTAGACCTAGTTTAGACCTGGTTTTAGACCTGTTTTAGTCCTAGTTTAGACCTGGTTTTAGATCTGGTTTTGTCCTAGTTTAGACCTGGTTTAGACCTGGTTTAGTCCTGGTTTAGTCCTAGTTTAGTCCTAGTTTAGACCTGGTTTAGACATAGTTTTAGACCTGGTTTTAGACCTGGTTTAGTGTCCAGCAATGAGAGGAATTACCGAGGAAAAAAAAAAAAAAGTGAAAACAGGAAAATATCTCCGTGTAATCCATTTATTTCAACCAAGTAACTGTAATCCAGTGACCACTCACTGAAACAGTAACTGTAACTGAATACAGTTACTCATAATTTGTACTCTGGTACAAGTAATCTGTTACTCCCCAACACTGTTAGTAGATTAAGTGAAATACGGGTATTGGTACATCGATTGTCTCCAAACATCAGCCACATTTGCGGGTCTCAAATCCATATCGGATTGTACCTACTTCCAATGCCCATCGTAAAATCTGCATTCTTCTTTTACCTAATAAAAACAGCATAGATTTGTACCGAACAATGTAGAGAAGAGCACATCTCCACTGGCGTCTGTGTGTGTACGGTTTATAGCGATTTCAGAGATAATTTAACATTCTTCATGCAGTCTTCTGATTGTATCTGAAGCCGTTGACCTTTCCTCTGATACAAGATTAGCTGGGTGTGTTAAAGGCGCATCTCCGGTAGTTTTTAGATTTTAGATTGCGACTGGAGACTTTGTTCATTGTCTAACTGCCTAAAATTATGCCTGTCACGGTAACAAATTTTTAAGTTTGATATATCGCTGAAGTAAATATAGATAATAAAGGATAATACTGAAACACAAAAACTCAAGAGCAGATTTAAACCACCAGAACTATTCTAAATCTAGAATATTGTAAAAGAAAATCAATGAATAAATAGCTTTATTACTTAATAGGGATGTAACAGTAAATTCGTGGGCCATCACAATATTGAATTACAAGAGTTTTCGCTTAAATCCACAATTTTGGAGCAGCAATAGCTCAAAAAAACAGAGGGAACTACATAGACCATGATCCTTTGCTCCGTTTCAGTGTAGACTACATGAAGAAATAACAGTTCTAAGCACTTTTAAGTCTTAGTTCTTTTGGATTAAGTCTTGTCAAGGCATTTTAAGAGGAAAAATTTGCATATTCACACTTGTGTTTGCCTCCAAAAAATATCACAATAAATATCGAACCGTGAGATGCATGTCGTGAAAATATCGTACAGAGAGATTTGGATATCGTTACATTCCTAGTGCTTAATTTTGTGTCTCTAATGAGTGATAGAAGTTATTAATTCATCCTTCTACAGCTCAAATCTTATCATGTAGTTAAAAAATAACCACAAATTTCATGATAAATATTAGGGATGGTGCGAGATCTCGTGAGACAAAATTGCCACAAGATTGAGCACACATGAGCAAAATGATCATGTGAGATTTTTATATTGAGTTTATATTTGGACTGGACAAAAAAGGGTCAAGTGTTAATGAGTTACATCTCTTACAGTTCCAAAAAGCAGAGGTAAAATGGAAACATATGAAATCAACATATGGAAAATATTAAATCAAATAAATACAAAATGTGAGGCCAAAATTGGAAACTGAATTGTGAAATTTATATATTAGGAATTATGTTAAAATCTCGTCCTGTCTCGTGGACCCAATACTATATCGCATTTTGTCTCGTAAAAATTGTGTTCCCTCCCCTCCCTAATAAATATTAACCCCAAAATCCCAATTGTTTCAGCTTTTGGGCCCGGTCAAGCAGAAGTAAACAACAAAGCCAAGATATAAAAATGTATTCAACAGATACATATGTACTCTAGTTTATGAAACTGTTGACCTTTTTTCTGTACCATTTTTGGTTCTAAAGTTACATACATTTTAAACAGACCATGTATGAAACATGGAACAAAAATTATTTCCCAAATTTCAAAGACCTGCAAATCATGTAAATAAATGGATGTATTTCATCATATCTTGTGTTATTCCATCTTTGAACTGTTGATGAAGGTACATGATTTTTCAAAAAAAAAAAAAAAAAAAGTATTTTAAAATGATAAAAATTTGCTTGGAAGGACTGACATATTTTATAGAAATAGTTTCCTTTCATTTTGAAGTAATATTAAAGTATTCAGAAGAAAAAAGCGACAAATTATGCAAAATCATGCACCTTCTACTTGTTTGCACAATTTTCGCTCCGTTACTTTTCCCTCCGTTACCATGACCTTTCTTAATAAAAAATCTCATTACTCAAAAAGTAAGAGGTTTTTCAACCTAATCTTGTACCATATGGTAGAAAACTATATGAAGCAAATATTCAAACCAGTTTGTTAAGGATATGTAAGTGAGAACCAAGAGTTATCACTGTTTGGATTTATTGCCCAAAAAGTGCTGCATATTTCATTCCCTCCGTTACTGACATGAGTTTTTAAAATTTTTTGTCAACAACTTGAAAGAATATCACAGGTTTAACTTTACCCTGTTGGAGTGTAACTCTTTCCTACATTCTGATACTTTACTTATTTCAATAGTCCCTCTAGTTTCTGAATAAGAGACTATTTGAATGTAAAAAATCTGCCCCGTTTCCCTCCGTTACCGCTTGACCGGACCCTTTTACATACTGAATGTGAAGTCTATATATTAATTATCGTGAAAGACCTACTTTATATTGCAGTATTAAAGTTTTGGCATCTGCAGTATACTGGGTTAATCTTCATAATTGCTTTTAGGACTCTAAAGTAACTGATACGACTCAAGTGCGACAGATTTAATTTTGTTCATTTATTAATTACATTTTTTTCTTTTCAGGACGTCGTTACCTGCACCAATGTACGCTAGAAACACGATCAGCGTGTGGAGTATCCTCAAGAAATGTATCGGCTTGGTAAGGAGAGATTCTACTGTTAAAAAAAGAAAAAAGGTGCACTGTGTAACTTTTTGATTGGGGGTTCATCACCTGCTTCTTTCTATGTATATGCCGTGGCTCTGCCTGAAATGTTCCACAGTATGACATTAAACGGCTTTACCTTACATTTATTAAATTGCAAGCCGGTATATATCTCAAAAATACCTAGAAAAACAGGCATTCTGACTCTGAGCAGGATCACCTCTCCACAGATGTTTGCCTGGTTTGGTCTCCATTAGAATGGACATTCAGTTAAATTTTCTTAATCAATTTTCAGGAGAATGAACTGTCGATTTTTGATTAATCATTAACATTTTTATATTAAAATTGTCATCATTATTATTACTATTACTAATCTGCATAAAAAACTCAACTTTACAACATATTAAACCATAACCACTATAGAGCCGCATCAGCCCGTTTGAGATTATCATGTGTTTAATGCAGCTTTTGCACATTTGTTTATGTCTTACAGAAACAAAACTTAAAACCACATGGCTCATTTGCATAAACTAAAAGCACTGCTCTTAGCTCAGTTCTTTATTTAACAGTCATTTCACTCACTTTATTTATGTTGGTCACGCTATTTATTTTGGCTGCTGTTGTGATAAAAAGACTGAAAAGCGTTGCAGTGACCTTTTCAGTAACTTTATGTTCCATGCACCATGACGAAACCGGGATACTCAAAAAACCCTATCATACCCGGGATGTGCATGTAAACACACTCATTGAGTGGTACAGTGTCTGTGAGGCCGTAACTCCAGTGTTTGTGTCAGACGCAGCCTCATCTTCGTACAGCAACATACATTCAGTTTGTCAATTAAAAATGAATGTGCTCGACGAAATTCTTAACAATCAGTTATCACTTAGTCGACCAATCATGCCCATCCCTAGTCTCCATGACGATAGAAAGGTTTAATAACGTATTGTGAAACAACCCAGACAAATTCCAGACAAAGCAGTAACATCTCCATAGAGAAAAGCATTTGACGGAAGCCACACCAGAAAATTTACACAATGCACCTTTCAAATGATCAATTGTGTTATATTGATTTAATCCATATAAATCAGTTTCTACTGTATTTTGAATGGTCACAATTCATTTAAAATGGCTCTCAATATTCTTTGCGCAGAACATCCATGTGATCTTAACCACCTAGTTTAGATGTCTTCAAATCTGAAATGTACGACTTTTCTATTAAAGAAGACATATTGTGCTTGTGTCTGCTATATAGTTATAAATCTATGAAACCCGTGGATCATTATTTTATACTTTGGACATTTTACATAGCAATATTCACCTTAAACAACTTAATAAAAGAAACAGGTCCGCAAATCATCCTTGCAAGTAGTGGATTTTATTTTTCATTCTGACCAAAATGACTACACAACTCTGTTTAATCCTATGTGTATCACCGATTAAGAAAATAAAATTGGAGAACGATGTAAGTAAGAAGAAGTTGGAGGAAGGAGGCAATATGATTGTCTTGAAAATAAGTGATTCAAGTTAACTCAAACATGCACGAAATACTCCAAATATAACTTTGAGAAGCTAAATGAAAAGAGGAAACAACTACAACATGGTAAAAAGCTCTGAAAAGTCAATTTTGCGTAATAGGTCTACTTTAATTTACTATTTATCAATTCATGTTTCAGTATTCTACCTAATGCAGATGTTTAATATTTAATCCCAATATTGTCCTAATTATTGCAATAAAACATGAAGATGCAGAGATGTTTAATTGTTTTTGACCCAGATTATTTATATCATTCGTACAAAAATTAGTATTTTGTTCTCCAGGAATTGTCGAAGATCACGATGCCCATAGCGTTCAATGAGCCTCTGAGCTTCCTCCAGAGAATCACCGAGTACATGGAACACACTTACCTCATCAACAAAGCCTGCTCCCTCCCGGACTCCATAGAGCGTCTGCAGGTACCTCGAATATGCTCACTGTGTTATACTGTATAATACTCCCTACAACTCTACAACTCACCCCTATGTAACAGATAATACTCCCTACAACTGCCTACGTAACAGGTAATACTCCTTACAACTGCCTACGTAACAGATAATACTCCTTACAACTGCCTACGTAACAGATAATACTCCTTACAACTGCCTACGTAACAGATAATACTCCTTACAACTGCCTACGTAACAGATAATACTCCCTACAACTGTACAGCAACTCGTCCTTATGTAACAGATAATACTCCCTACAACTGCCTACTAACAGGTAATACTCCTTACAACTGCCTACGTAACAGATAATACTCCCTACAACTGTACAACAACTTACTCTTAAGTAACAGATAATACTCCCTACAACTGTACAACTCACCTTTATGTAACAGATAATACTCCCTACAACTGTACAACTCACTCTTAAGTAACAGATAATACTCCCTACAGCTGTACAATTCATTCTTATGTAACAGATAATACTCCTACACTGCCTACGTAACAGATAATACTCCTACAACTGTACAACAACTTACTCTTAATAACAGATATCCCTACAACTGTACAACTCACCTTATGTAACAGATAATACTCCCTACAACTGTACAACTACTTAAGTAACAGATAATACTCCCTACAACTGTACAACAACTTACTCTTAAGTAACAGATAATACTCCCTACAACTGTACAACAACTTACTCTTAAGTAACAGATAATACTCCCTACAACTGTACAACTCACTTTATGTAACAGATAATACTCCCTACAACTGTACAACTCACTCTTAAGTAACAGATAATACTCCCTACAACTGTACAACTCACTCTTAAGTAACAGATAATACTCCCTACAACTGCCTACGTAACAGATAATACTCCCTACAACTGTACAACAACTTACTCTTAAGTAACAGATAATACTCCCTACAACTGTACAACTCACTCTTAAGTAACAGATAATACTCCCTACAGCTGTACAATTCATTCTTATGTAACAGATAATACTCCCTACAACTGCCTACGTAACAGATAATACTCCCTACAACTGTACAACAACTTACTCTTAAGTAACAGATAATACTCCCTACAACTGTACAACTCACCTTTATGTAACAGATAATACTCCCTACAACTGTACAATAACTCACCCTTATGTAACAGATAATACTCCCTACAACTGTACAACTCACTCTTAAGTAACAGATAATACTCCCTACAGCTGTACAATTCATTCTTACGTAACAGATAATACTCCCTACAACTGTACAACTCACTCTTAAGTAACAGATAATACTCCCTACAACTGTACAACTCACCTTTATGTAACAGATAATACTCCCTACAACTGTGCCACAATTCATCCTTATTGAAGAGATAATACTCCCTACAACTGTACAACAACTTACTCGTATGCAACAGATAATACTCCCTACAACTGTACAAGAACTTACTCGTATGCAACAGATAATACTCCCTACAACCGTAACAGATAATAATAATCCCTACACCTGTACAACAGCTCACCCTTATGTAACAGATAATACTCCCTACAATTGTACAACAACTCATCCTTATGCAACAGATAATACTCCCTAGAACTGTACAATTTACTCTTATGTAACAAATAATACTCCCTACAACTGTACTCTACAACAACTCACCCTTATGTAACAGATAATACTCCCTACAGCTGTACGTTCTGTTGTGGTGTGAGTTGTGTATTGAGTGTGTGGTTTGTAAAGGTGTGTGTTTGTTTTTCCAGGCTGTAGCTGCTTTCGCTGTGTCAGCCGTGGCGTCGCAGTGGGACAGAACTGGAAAACCCTTCAACCCTCTTCTGGGAGAGACTTATGAACTCGTCAGGTAATTTAAATTTATTAACAGAATTAAACGTATTATGGTTTTCCACTTATAAATCATCTAAACACTCTGGGGTCGTGTGCTAAACTGTGCAATTTTTTTATGGGTGAGGACGTTTTGTTCATATTTGGGTTGTAAAGTTTTGCATATGATTTTGCGTTGGTCTGATTTTATTAAAGGAGCATTAGCTTTTTGGGGGTCCGTCACCTGCTTGTTTCTATGGATATGTCATTGCTCTGTCTGGAATGTTCCACAGCTCTACTTTACATTTATCCAATTACAGGTGGTTTTATTACTCAAAAATACCAAGAAAACCTGTAACTTGGTCTGGTTTGGTCTCCATGAAGATAAAAAGGTTTAATACCATACTGTGAAACATTCCAGACAGAGCAACAACATTTCCATGGACAAAAGCATTTAACCTTCCACCAGAAAAGTTACACATTGCATCTTTAACAATGACAGTGAACACTACAAACAATACAACACATTTTGGTTCCTTACAATCAGTGTTGGGGAGTAACGGATTACATGTACCGCCGTTACGTAATCAGAGTACAAATTATGAGTAACTGTATTCAGTTACAGTTACTGTTTCAATGAGTGGTAATTGGATTACAGTTACTTTGCTGAAATAAGTGGATTACAAGGCGGTATTTTCCTGTTTTCACATTTTGTGCTACCTCGCATTTATTTATTTTTTTATTTCGGTAATTCCACTCATTGCCGGAAACCCAAACAGAACGCGCACAATAAGAGCGATGTAAACGTCATGTTAAAGTTGGCGGTGTCAGTCACACAGTGGAAGCAGCAGTGCATTGGTAAAAACGCATTTGTGTCTTGGAAATTCTTCTCCTGATGTGAGATATATATAAAAAAAAAACAAATATAAAATCGCCTACAACTTAAATGTGAAACAGGAGCTACTGGCACTAGTGAAAACAACCTGCATAGACTCATAATATCTGCACTACTGTCCTATAGTGACCTGCCACATGAGTGGACACGCACACACACACAAACACACAAACACACACACAAACACACACACACACACACACACAAACACACAAACACACACAAACACACAAACACACACAAACACAAACACACAAACACACACACAAACACACACAAACACACACAAACACACACAAACACACACAACACACACCTTCATCATCGTCATCAACCTGAGAACCCGCGGACCACGTCTCCTTCCGTAGTTACAGCGCGGACACCGACGTCTCGTGCGCCGCGTGTGGACTGTGTTTTCTCGCGTAAACCGCGCTTCCTTGTGCGCCTCTAAACCAGAACTAACACCAGGACTAAACCAGAACTAACACCAGGACTAAACCAGGACTAAAGCAGGACTGAACCAGGTTTAAACTAGGACTAAACCACGACTAAACCAGAACTAAAGACCTGGTCTAAACCAGGTCTAAAAATCAGGAGTAAACCAGGTCTAAAAACTAAACCAGGACTAAACCAGGACTAAACCAGGACTAAACCAGGACTAAACCAGGACTAAACAACATGACACCTAACAGTAGGTTGACATAATTTAAGGTGATCTCATATAAAAAATTATTTCTCTATCAATAATATTTTTTAATATGGTGAAGGAAAAGCTGATCTTGTTTCTGTCTTTTAACAGACAAAACCTCTTATATTCAGATCTCGTGGTCTTTGTTTCTCTACAGCAAACAGTTTATTCATGGAGACTTGGGCTCAGACAATTTGAAGAAAACAAACAAGAATTTTCAGAATGTGGTTGCTACATTCATGTTGTTTAAAAAAACATGACAATATCAAGTAATCCAAAGTAATCAGATTACGTTACTCACTTTAAGTAATTTAATGGATTACGTTACAAACTACATTTTGGGGTGTGTAATCTGTAATCTGTAGGGGATTACATTTTAAAAGTAACCTTCCCAACACTGCTTACAATATACTTTTGTTTGTTTTGGTCTCTTTGAACTGATTTTAAAAGGCAGGTAAACAATATCCCGAATGTAATGTTGGTTCCCACACCAGGAATATGTAAGAAAATCTGAAACATTTCTAGCTCATCGTCCCTCACCTGCTTGTCTCCATGGAAATGTTATTGCGTTGTCTAGAACACGGGTCTCCAACCTGTAGCTCTCCACCGATTTACAAGTAGCTCGCCAAAGGATTTCTGAATTAAATAAACTCGAATTTTGATTAATTACCACTGTAAATGTGTTTATTTTGACATTTGTGCACTAATAGATAGATAATGGTTTAATGTTTTTAGGCATGTAAATGTAGATCTAAGGTTTGCCCTCTTATATCGAATCATTTTCTTGCAACCGCGAAATGAGTAGCTCTCCTGCCGTTTTCATTTTGTAAAGGTAGCTCACCGGACGCAAAAGGTTGGAGATCCCTGGTCTAGAATGTTCCACAGTAGAGATTAAACCTAAAAAATCTATCACGAGGGAGAGAAGCAGGTCACAGCACTGCGCTGCATTACAATTCAGATCTGTGGAGAGTCGCCCCATTCACAGAAGGGTTTAATGTATCTTTGACCAATAGAAACTCATAATTAATAAATGTGAGATGTATATATTTAATGTCATGAAATGAAATGGAAGACACACACCAAAGTTCTTGTAGAGGTGCAAATGCAAGGAAGTGTAAAATAAAAGTGCTGATGTGCAAAAGCTTTTTTATTTTTAAATACTGTTTCTGCAAAAAAAAGCCTTTGTGATTATAATTATAATGCTAATTTGATGTTTTGGCTTCTGACTAGGGATGTAACAATAACCAAAATATCGTGATATAATATTGTCAAAGTTCTCACAATAATATCATGGACCATCACAATATATCGAATTACAAGTCTCTTTTACTTAAATTAAGAGTTACAGTGCAGCAATAGCTAAAAAAAAGACAGAGAACTGCATAGACCAGGGGTGTCCAAACTTTTTTCATCAAGGGCCATGTTTCTAAACACAGATGAAGCAGAGGGGCCGATCGAGGGCCGTAGACTGATGCTCAATACAGTGACTAATTAAAATATGTGCATGTTTAACTCGTTAGAATGAGCCATCAGTCTTTATTCATGCTAAGATCCTTAAAACCACACACTAAATATTAAATATGAACTTTATCAAGATAGATTTAAAAAAAAAACTTGCAGAAAAAAAAAATGTAATTGATGCAAGGTCATTTGGGCCAATTCAACTGGAAATCTGAGGGCCAAGAATAATTTGTCTGAGGGCCGCATTTGGCCTTGGGCCATAGTTTGGACATGCCTGGCATAGACCATGATCCTTTGCTCAATTTCAGTGCAGACTACAAGAAGAAATAACAGTTCTAAGCACTTTTAAGTTTTAGTTCTTTGGATGAAGTCTTGTCAAGGCATTTTAAGAGGAAAAGGTTTCATATTCACAGTTTTGTTGCCTCCAGAAAATACCGCAATAAATATCGTACCATGAGATGTGTATCGTGAAAATATCGTACAGAGAGATTTTGATATTGTTACGTCCCTAATTATGAGCCTCCCAACCATATCGCAGTAAATATCGTACCGTGACAATATCGTATCATGAGACTTGGACATTGTACATTCCTACTTCTGGGCTTTGTTGTCGAAACGTTATTTAAAAAAAAAAAAAGCTTTTGAATATTGGCCATCTCGGTGTGCTATGTGATATTTCACTTATATTTAATGTCATACCATGGAACATTACATCTTTAAGTAAACTACTAAGATTTTAAGTACTTAACTACTTTTGTTTAGTCAATGTAATATAGTAAAATGAAAAAAAATATTAAGCACAGTGACTAGATGTGAGCAGTTTTGTTTTTACTTTTTGTCTTTCAGAGAGGAGCAGGGTTACCGGTTGATTTCGGAGCAGGTCTCACACCACCCTCCCATCAGTGCCTTCCACGCAGAGAGCCTCACCGGGGACTTCGTCTTCCACGGATCCATCTACCCAAAACTCAAGTTCTGGGGCAAGAGCGTGGAGGCTGAGCCCAGAGGAACCATCACACTAGAACTGCTCAGGTCAGAACAGCACCAATCAGGATTTATAAATACACTTCTTAGGATCAAATTACCTGTAGTGATGAGTGTGAGTGTCTCTAAATAGCATCATAAAAAGTACAATACTGCGGAACATTTCGAGTTATGTGATCTTTAATTTATGATTTTTTACAGTTTTAAAAATGTGAAAAATGGAACAAATTACTTACTTAAAGTTTATTCCTCATTTTCATAACTAATTTCTGGAATCCTAATTATGCACTGTGATGAGTTTGTAAGCGCTTATCACGGTAAGACAACTAGCATGCTAACAGCGCACCAGCATTTATTCCTGGTTCATGGACGATGAAAGGACAAATGTTACTTTGTCACCTGAAAAAATTGGTTTTGATTAATAAGAACATAAAACTGGTGCCCTAAAACCAAAGCATCAACATCCAGACGAGGCCACATCCTCTTCCAGTTACTAGTCAGTTCTGTGGAGATGAGAGCCTGTCAGCAGTCAGGAAGCAAGCCTGTTTTTTAAGGTTTTCTTCACCCACATAAACACCAGTAATAATTGAATACCGTATTTTTAGGACTATAAAGCGCACATAAAATCCTTTCATTTGTGTGCCTTGTAATCTGGTGCACCTTTGGTTTGCCGTGAATAAAAGTAAGAATATTTATGTAGCTGTACTTTACTTCCTTATTCCACTACATTTTTGAACTGGACTGAAAAGTAAAAGTACTTTTCACATTTGAGGGGTTAAATGGGTACTTACAATTATTTTACTTGCCTAGATTTTTTTTCATGATACTTTTACTTGAGTAATGTTTTGCCTCTTTATCTATACTTGTACTTACGTATTTTTTCAACTATAAGGTGCACTTAAAATCCTTTAATTTAGTCAAAAATCAACAGTGCGCCTTATAATCTGGTGTATTAATTCTGGTTGTGTTTACTGAGCTCAAACCGATTTTATGTGGTACACGGCGCTCAAAAATCTGTCAAAATGTTTTAGTACCACTTTGGTAAGCTATGAAGCCGCACCGCTTGATGGATTGTCGGAGCATTACGGCTACCATAGTCAGGAGCCTCTCGGAGTAAAGCCCAATTTACGGTCATTAGTCTGACAGAAGCTGATCGCATTATTTCTCACAAAGTTCTCACAATAATAGCGTGGACCATCACAATAAATCGAATTACAAGTCTCTTTGCTTAAATGAAAAGTTATGGTGCAGCAATAGCTAAAAAAAAAAAGACAGAGGGAACTACATAGACCATGATCCTTTGCTTCATTTCAGTGCAGACAACAAGAAGAAATAACAGTTTTAAGCACTTTTAAGTCTTTTTTAAGCTGACCGCATCAGGGCACAAGAAGCAAGAGTTTAGTTTTTTTTTTTCAGCGCTTATAGTTTATACAAATGAGCCATGTGGTTTTAAGTTTAGTTTCTCTAAAACGTAAACAAATGTGTGCAAAGCTGCATTAAACACATTATTACTCAATGTGTATTTGAGTCCTCCTCGTAAGGAAATTAAAAATCAAACTTAATTTATCCACCCACGTTCACATTGATAATACACATTTACCAAGACAAAGAGGCAATGCCGGGCGAATTACACCACGATCTGCCAATGGGTCGTGGACGTCTGGACTAAGGGATCAGTCTCAAGTATCGTCTGTTTGTTTCGCTCAATGCGCCTTGTAAATCCGGTGCACCTTATGTATGAAATTAGACGAGAAAATTCAACATTATTGATATTGCGCCTTATAATTTGGGTGCGCCTTATAGTTTGAAAAATACGGTAAATGCTTGTTTTTTGGTTAATTTTTTCGAGTGAAATGTTCCGCAGCAGGGCTTTTATTTACTTGGATTCAGTGTTTATATTGTAGTAACAGGAATATGTATGTTTTGTGTTCCAGACATAATGAAGCGTACACCTGGAGTAACCCGTACTGCTGTGTGCACAACATCATCCTGGGCAAACTGTGGATAGAACAGTACGGGACAGTAGAGATCGTCAATCACAGGTGAGGAGTGTGTTTTATCTCAAACATCGAATCTCAAATGCTGAAATCAGAGGATCATTCATTTGTTTTCCAAAATAAAACCAAAAATAAGAAAACGAATAAACAGCTATTTTCTTCATTATTTGTCTCCGAAACCAAAATGAAAAAAATGAATACTGATTAATTTTTTTCAGTTTTCGATTTTGTGCTTAAATGAACAATGGAAAAAACGGATCACGGCCATTTCCCGTTTACGTGACTTAAACTGTGATTCCGGACTTTTGCGCCGCATACGGACAGAGACCGGGACAGAGACCGGGACAGAGACCGGGACAGAGACCGGGGCAGAGACCGGGGCAGAGACCGGGGCAGAGACCGGGGCAGAGACCGGGACAGAGACCGGGACAGAGACCGGGACAGAGACCGGACAGAGACCGGGACAGAGACCGGGGACAGAGACCGGGACAGAGACCGGGGCAGAGACCGGGGCAGAGACCGGGGACAGAGACCGGGACAGAGACCGGGACAGAGACCGGGACAGAGACCGGGACAGAGACCGGAAGACCAGGGCAGAGACCAGGGCAGAGACCAGGGCAGAGACCGGGACTGAAAACGGTTTAGTCGTGGTTTAGTCCTGGTTCAGTCCGTATGTGGCACAAAAGTCTGGCGTTGCAGAAACGGTCATTATCTTTTTTTTCCCCATTATTCATTTAAACATAAAATCAAAAACTGAAAAAAAAAAAACGAATCGTTATCCGTTTTTTCATTTTGGTTTTGGAGACAAATAATGAAGAAAATAGTTGTGTTTTTGTTTTCTTATTTTTGGTTTTATATTGAAAAATGAATGAATGAATGATATACGTATTTATTGACAATAATAATCTAAAATGCCATATTTGCCTTGGTGGAAAGAGTACTGAGAATTTGTACTTAAGTAAAAGTACCGTTCCAAGGCTAAAACTGTTTTCAATTACAAGTTCAAGTACTGCTGCCAGTTTTATACTTAAAGGAGTAATATGTAGCCTGCCCTGTGCTCTTATTGTTACTTTAATCACATCTGAACCTGAGTTTTCAGCGCTTTAACCTGCACTTCGAGAACACATAAAAGTTTTCTCATTTTCAGTATATGAAGACTGCAGCAGTAGAAGTACTAATGATTAATGAGTGGCTGCAGGCGCTGGGGTTTAGGCAGTGGGATTCTGCTCAGAGAGAGAGAGAGAGAGAGTTTTTTTTGGGTTTGAATCAACTGGATTTCAGCATTGGAACTGGCAACCCAAATGAGACTAATGTGAGTCTCATTCTGCTTTCTGATTGGATAATGGTTTTAGTGCCAAAACGCCAAATCAGCATTAGACACGTTATCAGATAAAGCTATATTTGATTTGAACAGCTCTATCTTGTGGGTTGGGACACTGGTGTTTATGGAATTAACAATGAAATTATTGTATACGGTTCCTTTAAAGGTGCATTGTGTAACTTTTCTGGCGGAGGGTCCATCATCTGCTTGTTTCTATGGATATGTCACTGTACACAGGGGGTTTTTCAGCTCTAAAACACAAAATCCCGCAAAAACTGGCATTCTGACGGTGAGTGGGGTTGCCTCTCCACAGATCTGACCTGTACATAGGGCTGGGTATCATTAAGAAGTTGCCGATACGATACATACCTCGATACTAGGGATGGGCATTCGATGAAATTTTCTTAATCGATCGTCGAGAGAATTAACGATCGATTATCGATTAATCATTAACGTTTTTATATTAAAATGATCATCATTATTATTACTATCTGCACTACTAATCTGCATAAATAAATTCAACTTTACGACATATAAACCGTAACGACTCTAGATCCACATCAGCCCGTTTGACATTATAATGTGTTTAATTCAGTTTTGTTCAACTCTCACAGAAATGAAACTTAAAACCGCATCACTAATTTGTATAAACTAAGCGAAGATAAAACTACAGCTCTTGTGTCGCTGATGCGGTTCAATTTCTGTTGGATTAAAAGACATGACTCAGGTGAATACAGGTTAGTGTGACCATATTTGCGTTTGTCAAAACCAGGACACCGTACGGGGGGAGGGAGGTGGGGACTCGTCATCGACATTGAGCGACTCTCACCTGGTAAAACTTTTTCCCACTGGACACAGAAACATATGTGCTGCTTTGTTCACTGTGCACATGGACTCACACCGGAACAGAAAGCCTGGAATTTCTTGTACAAGTCATCGTTAAATACACATTTGTGCTTCGGTACGTTGCAGACTGACCCACTGTTTGTGTCTCGCTCCTTCTGAGTGCAGAGACACATGTACAGACCTGTTTGGTCACACTACACACAGCAACCTACATTCGGTTTGTCGATTAAAATGAACGTAATCGATGAAATTCTTAATGATCAATTATCGATTAATCGACTAATCATGCCCATCCCTACTCGATATAGTGCTCTTTTCAATTCGATGCGATATATTTCAAATCGATTCGATACAGTTCAGTAAAAAAATAATTTCTAAATCACGTCGGTTATTGTTAAACCACTTCTTGTGCAAATTTAATATAAAACACTCCCATTTTAATTGTCAAAACAGTGAAAACGTCAAATGCGTCACATAAACGAGTTTCACTAAAGAAACAAGAAAACTGTAGAGCCATTGCAAAATAATTTGGTAAAATATACGAAAAAACACTCTTGGCGATATTTCATTACAGCAGCTCACAATATCGATACTGTATCATCACATTAAACGATGCGATATATCGATATTTCAATATTTTCGCACACCCCTACCTGCACATTGGTCTCCATGAAGATAGAAAGGTTTAACGTCATACTGTGAAACATTCCAGATGAAGCAATAACATCTCCATCGAGAAAAGCATTTTACAGACCCTCCCCCAGAAAAGATCCACAATGTACTTTTAATGTGTTATAGTGAAAAATAATACTCAGACTTTCTTTTTAATTTTCATAAACACAAACTTGAATAATTAAAAAAGTTTAAACCCTAACCCTAAATTAAGTTGTTTCAAACCACAAAATCTATGTATTCTTTGAGCAGTGGCGATGCAGAGCTGTTCGTGTTTGTAGGAAGAAGCACAGACGGCGGTGGCGGCTGCGTTTGGAACATTTGTGCTCTACTCATTAACTTCTGAGTTAAAATGTAGCTAGAATTGTGGTGAATTGCAAGTACATGTTGTTTAAAAATGTACCCAAAACATCTTGACCCAAGTGCAAGAACACAATTATGATGTTAATCTCTACCCAGTAAATTTGTTTTGTTAAAGGTACATTGTGTAACTTTTCTGGTGGAGGGTCTGTCAAATGCTTTTCTCTCTGGAGATGTTATTGCTTCATCTGGAATGTTTCATAGTATTATAAGTAGTAGTAGTAATAGTAGTAGTAGGAGTAGTAGGAGTAGTAGGAGTAGTAGTAGGAGTAGATGAAGGAGTAATTGGAGTAATAGGAGTTGGAGTAGGAGGAGTAGTTGGAGTAGTAGTTGGAGGAGGAGTAGGAGTAGTTGGAGGAGTAGTAGTTGGAGGAGTAGTAGTTGGAGTAAGAGTAGTTGGAGGAGGAGTAGGAGTAGTAGTAGTTGGAGGAGTAGTAGTTGGAGGAGGAGTAGTTGGAGTAAGAGTAGTTAGTAGGAGTAGAGTAGTTGGAGTAGTAGTAGTAGGAGTAGGAGTAGTTGGAGGAGTAGTTGGAGTAGGAGTAGTAGGAAGAGTAGTAGTTGGAGTAGTTGGAGTAAGAGTAGTTGGAGTAGGAGTAGTTGGAGTAAGAGTAGTTGGAGTAGGAGTAGTTGAAGGAGTAGTAGTTGTAGTAGGAGTAGGACTAGTAGGAGGAGTAGTTGGAGGAGTAGTTGGAGTAGTAGTTGGAGTTGGAGTTGGAGTAGTAGGAGGAGTAGTAGTAGTAATTGGAGTAGTAATTGAGTAGTAGTAGTAGTAGGAGTAGTAGTAGTAGGAGTAGTAGTAGGAGTAGTAGTAGGAGTAGTAGTTGGAGGAGTAGTAGGAGTAGTAGTAGTAGTAGTAGTAGTAGTAGTAGGAGTAGTAGTAGTGGAGTAGTGGAGGAGTAGTGGAGGAGTAGCTGGAGGAGTAGTTGGAGGAGTAGTTGGAGGAGTAGCTGGAGGAGTAGTTGGAGGAGTAGTTGGAGGAGTAGTGGAGGAGTAGTTGGAGGAGTAGCTGGAGTAGTAGTTGGAGTAGTAATTGGAGGAGTAGTAGTAGTAGGAGTAGTAGTTGGAGGAGTAGGAGGAGTAGTAGGAGTAGTAGGAGTAGCTGGAGGAGTAGTTGGAGGAGTAGTGGAGAGTAGTTGGAGGAGTAGCTGGAGGAGTAGTAATTGGAGTAGTAATTGGAGGAGTAGTAGTAGTAGGAGTAGTAGTTGGAGGAGTAGGAGGAGTAGTAGTAGGAGTAGTAGTAGTAGTAGTAGCTGGAGGAGTAGCTGGAGGAGTAGTTGGAGGAGTAGTTGGAGGAGTAGCTGGAGGAGTAGCTGGAGTAGTAATTGGAGTAGGAGTAGTAGTAGGAGTAGTAGGAGGAGTAGTAGTAATAGTAGTAGTAGTAGTAGCTGGAGGAGTAGTAGGAGGAGTAGTTGGAGTAGTAGCTGGAGGAGTAGGAGGAGGAGTAGTAAGTAGTAGTAGTAGTAGTAGAGTAGTAGCTGGAGGAGTAGCTGGAGGAGTAGTAGGAGGAGTAGTTGGAGTAGTAGCTGGAGGAGTAGGAGGAGTAGTAGTATAGTAGTAGTAGTAGGAGTAGCTGGAGGAGTAGTTGGAGGAGTAGTAGGAGGAGTAGTTGGAGTAGTAGCTGGAGGAGTAGGAGGAGTAGTAGTAGTAGTAGTAGTAGCAGTAGTAGCAGTAGATCATTGTTACATTCATACTGTAGTACATTCATTCAGAGCAATGACATTTCCATACAAACAAACAGGTGATGGAGCCCCAACCAAAGAGTTACACAGTGCACCTTTAATATTTCATAACTTTTCTTTTTTTTTCTTTCAGCACCGGGGATAAGTGTGTACTAAACTTTAAACCTTGTGGGATGTTTGGCAAAGAGCTGCACAAAGTCGAGGGATACATCCAGGACAAGAGGTACGAGCTCTGAGACACAAAGTAATATAGATAATGTTGTATAATATAACATCTGATGCCCGTTTCTTTGTCTGCAGTAAAAAGAAACACTGCGTTATCTACGGGAAGTGGACCGAGTGCATGTGGAGCGTGGATCCCCACACGTACGAGGCTCACAAGAAATCTGAGAAGAAAGGAGACAACAAGAAGAGCAAAAATGTGAGTGTGGAATTAAAGGTTGTGCAGAGGATTTTTTTTTAAGGAAAGAGAAATACAGAAACACCTCCTCCCGCCTCCTTACTCTAGAAATCACGCTTGTTTACAGCCTGTGCGCGTTCAGAATTACTGTTGAAGTGACCTGTCTGGAAATAATTTAGCGACCGACGAATCAGTTTTTAGACCCATCGTCTGCTTCATTCGCGCCGTCGCTGGAAGAGATCTCCAAGAATCACCTCAGTTTGTCTTCGCTCCTTTTCCACTTCTCTTCTTCTTTCAGCGACCTCAAAAACGGACTTTCTTTTGCGGCGAACCGGTCGTGGATTCTCGTCCGCCATCGCAACAAACTTCGTGCGAATTGCGTGGAAGCTACAGTTTGAAAAAGCCTCAAAAAAACGCTGCATAAATCACGTAATCCCCGCGCGCCGACGAGTCAGTTACACTAGAAACGTAGAGAGTTTGATTGACAACCTAACAGCCAATAGGAAATGAGGGAGCCTCGTTGTCTATTGGCTGATGTTTATCTGGCCTCAACACGTCCACAGTTGATAGATTTTCTTTTTTTTTTTTTTTTTTTTTTTTTTTTTTGGTCATTCTAATTACAAGGCTGCTGCATCTCTGTAATGATATTTTAAGCTTTCATTGACAATTTGAAACAAAAAAAAAAAATCCTCGATACAACCTTTAAAGGGCCCATATTACTCTGTTTTCTGATCTGTTATAATGTTGTTTTCTCATCACAAAGTGGAAAGTGAAGTTTGAGGTTTGGAGATGTAGACAGACTAATAATAACCGATAACTCAAACATGTGTGAATGAAACAAAACACAACTCCAGGTCTGTTTTTGAGGCGGTAATAACATTAAAACATGGCGTGAAATAAAGTCCTGCACCTGCGGGACACATTTTGAATCGGGCTGTCACGGTTAGGGCGCACCTCCGAGCCAGTCCTGAAAGTGAGTCCTGACTGAGTTCTGGTTTAGTCCTGGTTTAGTCCTGGTGTTAGTCCTGGTGTTAGTCCTGGTGTTAGTCCTGGGTTAGTCCTTGTTTAGTCCTTATTTAGTCCTGGGGTTAGTCCTGGGTTAGTCCTGGGTTAGTCCTGGGTTAGTCCTGGGTTAGTCCTGGGTTAGTCCTGGGTTAGTCCTTGTTTAGTCCTGGTTTAGTCCTGGTTTAGTCCTTGTTTAGTCCTGGTTTAGTCCTGGTTTAGTCCTGGGTTAGTCCTGGGTTAGTCCTTGTTTAGTCCTTGTTTAGTCCCGGGTTAGTCCTTGTTTAGTCCTTGTTTTGTCCTGGTTTTGTCCTGGGTTAGTCCCCGGGGTTAGTCCTGGTGTTAGTCCTGGTGTTAGTCCTGGTGTTAGTCCTGGTGTTAGTCCTGGTTAGTCCTGGTTTAGTCCTGGTTTAGTCCTGCTTCAGTCCGTGGCGTGTACGGCATCTCGATCAAAGTTTCTTCTTCTCCGTAAATAAATCCTGTGAAGTGATGACAGTCGAGTTTTCGTCTGTGAATTTGTATTCGTACTGAAGAAAGCAAAACCGTTTCATTTCATTTCGTGATTGTCATTCTTGAAGTCGTAACTTTTCCATTCGTATTCTGATGGATGCTTCAGTTAAAACATTTTTTTTTAGAATTTTTTAAAATTTGTATGTATTACAGTATTTATCACGGGCAAATATATCGGCGATTATATCGGCCATCGGCAGATCAAACTCCCATTATATCGGTTTCATATGGGCCACAACAAAATCCAGATCGGTCGGGCTCTAATTTAAACAGTTGTAAGTACAGAGCAGTAGGTGGGGATAGGGGGTAGGGGATACTCAAATTTTGGGAACACTCAAGCCTTGAAAGCATTTGCAGTACAATACAGTAAAACTCTGAGTATGTTAATGATGAAGGAACACCTAGATCTGTCACGATACTTTATAGATACCGACTTATTGTCCAATATAAGAAAGCTGGAACAATATACTTTGGGATCAGTATTTATCGTGTGTCATTTTTCTTTGCACTACTGGGAAATTTTGGGTTATTTTTTGGCAATACGATAACATTTAAGCTGTAAAAGATTGAATTAATACCTTCTGTTACTCATTACAGATGCAGACTAATTACCAAAGTGTTTCCTTATGCTGTTTATTTATTGCAGATGGATTTTTTAACAATATTATACGTCTTATCTTGGATCTTGGATTTTTGTGTCAGTGCCATAAGTTAATTTACTTAATATTCACTTAATAGTTGTTGTCGTGACAGACCTAGGAGCACTTGTAATGTGTTTAAAAGCTCATAAAAAAGAGTGAGGAAGTGCTTGTACTTCCACCCCAAGACCACGGGAAATAGATCACATGTATGCAGAATTTTCTTTTTTTTTTTTTAACTGAGAAAGTTTATCCAAACCTCTGTCCAACTCTAATACACGATAAATAGTTAATTATGATTATCCAGAGATCATCTTTGAGAAATCTTGGGGTGCAGGACATGTACATGTACATGAAATTTTTTGTTTTCATTTATGGTCATACAAGCTAATAATGGTAATAAAGAAGGCACAAAGTTTATCGTTTATGATCGTACAAAATAAACAGGAATGAGAATGAAAAATTTAAGGATTTTTTTCGTTTTTCTTTATGGTCGTGCAAACTAATATTACTGAAGAAGACACAAAAGTTTATCGTTTATGATCGTACAAAATAAACAGTAATGAGAATGAAAGATTTAGGGATTTAGGAAAAAAATCCTTAAATTTTTCATTCTCATTCCTGTTTATTTTATACGATCATAAACAATAAACTTTGTGCCTAGATTAACATTATTATTAGTTTGTACGACTACAAACGGAAATATGTCTCTGCATGCGTGTATATATTGATATGCATATGTGTGTAAACATTTATATCGAGTATATCTACTGGATATCTATGATGTGTATATGAAAAAAAAAAAAAGTGAACCATGTGATTATGTAAAACAATTGGGGTAGGACTCCATAAGTTTTTTAAACTTCATCCTACTCCTTTTGAGCACCAGGTCCCAAATATGTCATGTATATATCACTATTTTTGTTATTGTTTTTGAATTTTGTTGTACCTGGCTCAAACAAAGAAATAAATGAAATGAAATGTATAAAGGAGTAAATAACTGGCTGTGTTTGTGTGTCAGGACGAGCTGGAGGGAGCAGATGACGATGCAGATGACATGCCTCAAAAATTGACTTTCTTTTGCGGCGAACCGGTCGTGGATTCTCGTCCGCCCTCGCAACAAACTTTGTGCGAATTGCGAGGAAGCTACAGTTTGAAAAAGCCTCTAAGAACCGCTGCATAAACCACGTAATCCCCGCGCGCCGGCGAGTCAGTTACACTAGAAACGTGGAGAGTTTGATTGACAACCTAACAGCCAATAGAAAATGAGGTAGCCTTGTTATCTATTGGCTGATGTTTATCTGGTCTCACTATGTCCACAGTTGATAGATTTTTTTTTTTTTGGTCATTCTAATTACAAAGCTGCTGCATCTCTGTAATGATATTTTAAGATTTCATTGACAATTTGAAACAAAACAAAAAATCCTCAATACAACCTTTAAAGGGCCCATATTACTCTGTTTTCTGATCTGTTATAATGTTGTTTTCTCATCACAAAGTTGGGGTAGGACTCCATATTTTTTAAACTTCATCCTTCTCCTTTTGAGCACCAGGTCCCAAATATGTCATGTATATATCACTATTTTTGTTATTGTTTTTGAATTTTGTTGTACCTGGCTCAAACAAAGAAATAAATGAAATGAAATGTATAAAGGACGAACTAAAGGAGTAAAAATAACTGGCTGTGTTTGTGTGTCAGGACGAGCTGGAGGGAGCAGATGACGATGCAGATGACATGCCCGAGGTGCAGGAGACCGTGGCTGTGGTCCCAGGAAGTACTCTGCTGTGGAGGATAGACTCCAGACCCCCACACTCTGCTACAGTCAGTACTACACACTACATAAGCCAGTACTACACACTACATAAGCCAGTACTACACACTACATAAGCCACTACTACACACTACATAAGCCAGTACTACACGCTACATAAGCCACTACTACACACTACATAAGCCAGTACTACACACTACATAAGCCAGTACTACACACTACATAAGCCACTACTACACACTACATAAGCCAGTACTACACACTACATAAGTCAGTACTACACACTACATAAGTCAGTACTACAGCTACATAAGCCACTACTACACACTACATAAGCCACTACTACACACTACTAAACAGTACTACACACTACTACATAACTACTACACACTACATAAGCCAGTACTACACACTACATAAGCCAGTACTACACACTACATAAGCCAGTACTACACACTACATAAGCCAGTACTACACACTACATAAGTCAGTACTACACACTACATAAGTCAGTACTACACACTACATACACTACTACACACTACATAAGCCAGTACTACACACTACATAAAGCCAGTACTACACACTACATAAGTACATAAGTACTACACACTACATAAGCCACTACTACACACTACATAAGCCAGTACTACACACTACTACATAAGCACACTACTACACACTACATAAGTCAGTACTACACTACTACACACTACATAAGCCAGTACTACACACTACATAAGCCAGTACTACACACTACATAAGCCAGTAACTACTACACACTACATAAGCCAGTACTACACACTACATAAGCCAGTACTACACACTACATAAGCCAGTACTACACACTACATAAAGTCAGTACTACACACTACATAAGCCAGTACTACACACTACATAAGCCAGTACTACACACTACATAAGCCAGTACTACACACTACATAAGTCAGTACTACACACTACATAAGCCACTACTACACACTACATAAGCCAGTACTACACACTACATAAGCCACTACTACACACTACATAAGCCAGTACTACACACTACATAAGCCACTACTACACACTACATAAGTCAGTACTACACACTACATAAGTCAGTACTACACACTACATAAGCCAGTACTACACACTACATAAAGTACTACACACTACTACTACACACTACATAAGCCAGTACTACACACTACATAAGTCACTACTACACACTACATAAGCCAGTACTACACACTACATAAGCCAGTACTACACACTACATAAGTCAGTACTACACACTACATAAGCCACTACTACACACTACATAAGCCAGTACTACACACTACATAAGTCACTACTACACACTACATAAGCCAGTACTACACACTACATAAGCCAGTACTACACACTACATAAGCCAGTACTACACAGTACTACTACATAAGTCAGTACTACACACTACATAAGTCAGTACTACACACTACATAAGCCACTACTACACACTACATAAGTCAGTACACTACACACACTACATAAGTCAGTACTACACACTACATAAGCCAGTACTACACACTACATAAGTCAGTACTACAGTACTACACACTACATAACTACATAACAGTACTACACACTACATAAGCCAGTACTACACACTACATAAGTCAGTACTACACACTACATAAGCAAATACTACACACTACATAAGTCAGTACTACACACTACATAAGCCAGTACTACACACTACATAAGCCAGTACTACACACTACATAAGCCAGTACTACACACTACATAAGCCAGTACTACACACTACATAAGCCAGTACTACACACTACATAAGTCAGTACTACACACTACATAAGTCAGTACTACACACTACATAAGTCAGTACTACACACTACATAAGCCAGTACTACACACTACATAAGCCAGTACTACACACTACATAAGCCAGTACTGCACGCTACATAAGCCAGTACTACACGCTACATAAGTCAGTACTACACACTACATAAGTCAGTACTACACACTACATAAGTCAGTACTACACACTACATAAGTCAGTACTACACACTACATAAGTCAGTACTACACACTACATAAGTCAGTACTACACACTACATAAGCCAGTACTACACACTACATAAGTCACTACTACACACTACATAAGCCAGTACTACACGCTACATAAGCCACACTACTACACACTACATAAGCCAGTACTACACACTACATAAGCCAGTACTACACACTACATAAGTCAGTACTACACACTACATAAGCCAGTACTACACACTACATAAGTCAGTACTACACACTACATAAGTCAGTACTACACACTACATAAGCCAGTACTACACACTACATAAGCCAGTACTACACACTACATAAGTCAGTACTACACACTACATAAGTCAGTACTACACACTACATAAGTCAGTACTACACACTACATAAGTCAGTACTACACACTACATAAGTCAGTACTACACACTACATAAGCCAATACTACACACTTTAAGACACAGAATCACACATATTATTCCTAATTTCTATACAACTGAAAAAAAAAATTCTCAAAGCAGTTAGACGTCACTTTCCTGATCACTTTTAAATCAGTTTCTAGTTTTGACATAAAAATGCATCATAAACTCTCTGGTGAAGGGTCCGCCACTTGCTTGTCTTCATGAAAATTGTATTGCTTAGTCTATGATGTCTCGTAGTATGGCATTAAACTTAATTATTTCCATGAAGACACGCCCGCAGTGCCACCAGGTCAACTTACAGGCCACATTTTTGTAGTAATGTGTCTTTTAAAATGTATTTTCGAGCACTAAAACGCCTACAGTTGAATAAATGCAACATATCAGTGTTGTACTGTGGCACCTTTCAGGCCAAGCAATAACAGAGTAGCTGCAGGGTCTTAAAAGTATTAAAAAGGTCTTAAAATTCATGTTCCTAAATTAAAGCCATAAAAAGTCTTACATTTATGTTGTCCAAGTCTTATTTTCGTCACAAAGGTCTTAAATTTCATTAGCCTAACCACAGTGGCTCTTAGATTCTAGATACAGTACCGTAGTTGGTTGTTTTTTATTAGAATTGGATCTGGTGTTTCTCGTCCGCATAATGGGTGTTGTTGGTCTTAATTTTCATTTAAGTGGTCTTAAAAAGGTCTTTAAAAAGTTTAAAAAGGTAGTCAAACTTGAGGATACACTGAATAATATCTCCATGGAAACAATCTTGTGGCAGGATCTCCTTCCAGAAAAGTTACACAGTGCTCTTTTCACCAGCACGCAGACTTTAGGCATATTTGGATCTGCATGTCTTTCAGTTCGTTTGATTATAATAACATTTTTTTTTACAATTTTACAGATGTACAACTTCACTAACTTTGCGATGGCTTTGAATGAGCTGGAGCCGGGGATGGAGGCCATTTTGGCTCCAACCGACTGTCGCTTCAGGCCAGACATCAGAGCCATGGAGAACGGCAGCATGGGTAACAGCAAACACTCTGGAGATATTACATTTCACATTACCAAAAAGTCTCTTGTAGAGTCTGAATACAGTACATTACTGATATGGTGCTGCCATCTAGTGGTGTGTATCTTGATACTACACTTGATACAAGTTTATCAGTAGAATATTTTGTACTTTTGTAATGAGGTTTCATCTTTTTTATAGGCATTCTCATTTTAAGATCATAAAAGGACAGCTACATATTCAAACATTTCTTTTGTGTCCAATATTCTTGTATTCTCAGACAGCTTCTTTATATGGGTCTGGTCAAGCAGTAACGGAGGGAAACAGGGGCAGATTTTTTACATTCAAATGTCTCTTATTCAGAAACTAGAGGGACTATTGAAATAAGTAAAGTATCAGAATGTAGGAAAGAGTTACACTCCAACAGGGTCAAGTTAAACCTGTGATATTCTTTCAAGTTGTTGACAAAAAATTTAAAAACTCATGTCGGTAACGGAGGGAATGAAATATGCAGCACTTTTTGGGCAATAAATCCAAACAGTGATAACTCTTGGTTCTCACTTACATATCCTTAACAAACTGGTTTGAATATTTGCTTCATATAGTTTTCTACCATATGGTACAAGATTAGGTTGAAAAACCTCTTACTTTTTGAGTAATGAGATTTTTTATTAAGAAAGGTCATGGTAACGGAGGGAAAAGTAACGGAGGGAAAATTGTACAAACAAGTAGAAGGTGCATGATTTTACATAATTTGTCGCTTTTTTCTTCCGAATACTTTAATATTACTTCAAAATGAAAGGAAACTATTTCTATAAAATATGTCAGTCCTTCCAAGCAAATTTTTATCATTTTAAATACTTTTTTTTTTTTTAAATCATGTACCTTTCATCAACAGTTCAAAGATGGAATAACACAAGATATGATGAAATACATCCATTTATTTACATGATTTGCAGGTCTTTGAAATTTGGGAAATAATTTTTGTTCCATGTTTCATACATGGTCTGTTTAAAACGTATGTAACTTTAGAACCAAAAATGGTACAGAAAAAAGGTAAACAGTTTCATAAACTAGAGTACATATGTATCTGTTCAATACATTTTTATATCAGATGCATTAACTTGAATTTCTGTCCTTGTTGTTTACTTCTGCTTGACTGGGCCCATATTCTATATCCAAGAAAGTTAGACAAAGTGTATTTGGTTGTTATTATGTTCCAGATGAAGCCAGCAGAGAGAAGGAGCGTTTGGAGGAGAAACAGAGAGCCGCTCGAAAAGAGAGGAACAAGAATGAAGAGGACTGGTCCACCAGGTATGAGCTGCATCAGAGCTGTGTAGATTTCACGCCGCTCGCTGTTTTTTTCAATACAAACTATTGTGCTGCTGTTAAATAAATCAGTGTGGAATATTTACTGGCTCTTTGACGCAGGCATTTAAAGCCAGGGAACTGAAATCTGGCACCGAGCGAGCGTTTTTTGGTACCAGTACTTACCAGACATTTTCAGTTTTGGTACCCAGCGCTATGAATAACCATTTCAGTCTAAATTGTGGGAACAGGAACAAGACAAACGCTGAATCAGACCATGGATATTTCAATGAAAGAGCTGATCACTGACCATTTGAAACATCTGGGTCTTTATTCAAATTCAGATTCATTTAACTATTCAGCCCTGCCTTAAATCCATGAAATATAGGCCCTTCTCATGAATAAATGCAATACAAATAAACCGAAACCCATCCTCTTTATGTATAATCACGTGTATTTTTCTTCATAGGTGGTTCCAGATGGGCACAAACCCGTACACAAACAACCAAGACTGGATCTACTCTGGAGGGTACTTCAACAGGAATTACCAGGACCTGCCTGATATTTACTGAGATTCTACCCTTAACCCCCTGTCGCTCATGTCTGCTATGGGACAGACGCCTTCTAAAAATGATAAATAATAATAATAATTCAAGCAGTCTTCATCAAAACTACATCTCTGAACTCCTACAGCACAATTATCATGTCAACCAGCGGCAATGAAAGACAAAAACGAAGATTCAAGGTGCGAAATTCAAGTCAAGATACGCGCCGTCATCTGGACAACACTTGGAGTCGACTTTATGGGTTTGCTGAAAAAAAAAAAAAAGGATAAAGATCTGCACCAATCAGGTTTTACATTATAACCACAAACTTAAGGAAAAAGATCTTGTGAGATTTTCTGTCCACATGTTTACATTGAACAAAAAAAGGGTTAACTTTACTGAATTACACCTCTAGAGAAGCCAGATTCCAAAAGCAGTGCTGCAGTGACACCAGAAATATAAAATAAATAGAAAATTGTGTAAAAATCTCATCCCATGACGTCCCTGAACAAGACCGAACGACGTCGAACAATCTTCTGATAGACACCTGCCCCCCAAAACACCTGAAGAACAAAGATGAGTTGAAACTGAACCAGGACCAAGCCAGGACTAAACCAGGACTAAGACAAAACTAATCCAGAAGTAAGATGGGACGAAGCCAGGACTAAACCAGGACTAAACCAGGACTAAACCAGGAATAAACCAGGAATAAACCAGGACTAAACCAGGACTAAACCAGGACTAAACCAGGATGAAGCCAGGACTAAACCAGGACTAAGACAAAACTAATCCAGAAGTAAGATGGGACGAAGCCAGGACTAAACCAGGAATAAACCAGGACTAAACCAGGACTAAACCAGGACTAAACCAGGACTAAACCAGGACTAAACCAGGAACTAAACCAGGACTAAACCAGGAATAAACCAGGACTAAACCAGGACTAAACCAGGACTAAACCAGGATGAAGCCAGGACTAAACCAGGACTACCACACATCTTAAGTACTTCTGATCAGTATTGACCACTACAGGCGTAGAATGCCCTACAAGAGCCACACTAATCCAGGACTTAACCAGGATTTAACCAGGTTGAAAGTTCAACTGATAAAAACTGACTACCAAAAAAATGCCCAATAACTGCTGAAACTACAGTGTACGCCAGGACCAAGCCAGGACTAAACCCAGACTAAACCCGGACTCAAGTACCTCTCATAAATTATGTTTTTGGTCTGTGATGATCAACAAGAGCTACACTAAACTAGGACTAAATCTGGACTAAACCAGGACTTAGCCAGGACTAAGCCAAGACTCAACCTGGACTCAAATACTTCTGATAAATGATATTTTTGGTCTATAATGATCAACAAGACACAAGAGCTGCATTAAACCAGGACTAAACCAGGACTAAACAGGACTAAACCAGGACTAAACCAGGATTAAACCCGGACTCAACCCGGACTCAACCTCGACTCAACCTCAGACTCAAGTACTTCTGATAAATGATGTTTTTGGTCTATAATGATCAACAAGACACAAGAGCTGCATTAAACCAGGACTAAACCAGGACTAAACCCGGACTAAACCAGGATTAAACCCGGACTCAACCCGGACTCAACCTCAGACTCAAGTACTTCTGATAAATTATGTTTTTGGTCTATAATGATCAACAAGAAACAAGAGTTGCACTAAACCAGGACTAAACCAGGTCTAAACCAGGTCTAAACCAGGACTCAACCCGGTCTAAACCCGGTCTAAACCCGGACTCAAGTACTTCTGATAAATTATGATAAATGTTTCTGGTCTGTAATGATCAACAAAAATCATGAGCTGCACTAAACCAGGACTAAACCAAATATGACGTTCCTTCTGACTCCTGTAGACTGAAAACACCCCACAAGTGCTGAAACCAAACCAGGACTAAACCTGAAAAAAGTCTGAAATACCCCACAAGATTTAAACTCATCTACTATTGTACTTACTTTTAACACATTTGTTACGACAATTAAAGTCCACGTGGTTTGGTATTGTTGGTGGTTATAATGTTCTACCTGATCCGTGTCCGATTTCCAGCCCGCTTCACTACACTGCTGCGCTGAAACGAAAGCGAAAGTGAAAGCGAAAGCGAAGAAAGAAGATGATCAAACGGACATTGAAAACCTACCAGCAACACTACAACCTGTAACAAAGATTTCCTCTACTTCAAAATCTATACTCCAACTCTAAAATAATACTAAAAACAATGCATCGAGGAAGTGCAAGTGTGTAGATGAGAAAAAGTGGATTTTAAAACGCAAAATGCTTCGCTAATCATGATTTTTTTTTGTTTTTTTTTGTTTGTTAATCACCCATAAACTCAAAATAGTCCCATGAATGTCTCTGTGAATACATTTGTTCATGTGTAAACTTGTACAGACACCCGAAGCCATATTAACTATAGGAGCGCGTGGAGAGTGAGTGAGCGAGTGACTACACACGGACAGGAAATAGTGGTGGACAAAGTTTGTTTATACGCGGCAAAAAATGTTTATCGATTAGTTAAAAGCGTTGTACCCGGATTTTGCGATCTTAAAAAACGTGGAAAACAGAATTAGCTCATTTTAAACAGTTTGCAGCGGTCCAAAATTATTCCCTACTTACCTTCAGATCATTCAGAGCATCAGAATTATTTACTACAATTTTCAGAGAGATAACGACAACTAGCATGCGAACGTGCACTTTTGATTGTTGGGAAGTAATTAGACTCACGCTGCAGACTGGTTTTGACTTCAAGAGCTGCTTGGCAAGACATTTTCTTCAAATACTTGGGGAAAAATTAGGTACAAGGTCTTTAAAATTGAATTCAGAATATTATGATTTGACTTTCAAGGCTGATTTACAAATATATAAGATTTATTTCCAAGCTTTTGTTTCAAGAATATTAAATTGTGTAGGGTTGCGTTGTTTTTATTTCTTATTATGCCACTGACATAAAAGAATGAGAACTTCGCACAGTAAATACTTGAGACGGTGCGTTTGAGGACTGGAAGCAGCCCAAGAACATTGAGAAAAATCCCGCGCACCGTCGTACTTGCAAAATGTGAGATTTATTAAGATAAACTGCAACGTTTCAGCACTAGGCAAGCAGTTTGTCCTAATAAATCTCACATTTTGCAAGTTAAGACGGTGTGTGGGATTTTTCTCTATGATATATTCATTGACAAAATTCAGATGATAATATGGAAATCCATCAGAAATCTGTTAAAATATTTGGGATTCAAGTGTTGCACATCAATTAAATGGGGTTAAACACAAACTTCTCCAAGTACTGTCCAATTTAGCAGCTCTAAAGCTTTTTTTTTTTTCTCAAGCAGTTGTTTCAAGAATATGGGTGTCTGGTATAGATAAGAAATTTCCCAATAATTTTTTTTTCTTTTTTTTAATACCCTTGACAAAATTCAGATAATAATATGGAAATCCATCAGAAATTAGTAAAAATATTTGGGATTCAAGTGTTGCCATCTGTCAGACAGATGCATTTGTTTCAAGAATATTAAATTGTGTAGCTGGTATTGATAAAAAAAACAAAAAAAACTTTTCTTTCTTTCTTTTTACATAAAAAAAAATATATATATATATATACCCTTGACAAATTCAGACAATATTCAGAATAAGGAAATCTATCAGAAATTTGTTAAAATATTTGGGATTCAAGTGTTGCACATCAATCAAATGGACTTAAGTCGGCTTAAACAAAAACTCTTCCAGGCACTGCCCAATTTAGCAGCTCTGAAGCTCTTTTTTTTTTTCTCTCTCAAGCAGTTGTTTCAAGAATATTAAATTGCGTAAGTGTGTGGTATAGATAAAAATGTATTTCTAATTCTTTTTTTTTTTTTTAATACTCTTGACAAAAGTTCAAACGATAATATGGAAGTCTAGCTTTTTATTTATTAATTTTTTTTTTTTTCTTCCCCAAGCATTTGTTTCAAGAATATGGGTGTCTGGTATAGATGAAAAATAATTTCCCAGTATTTTTTTTTCTTTTATTATTATTTTTTTTTATACCCTTGACAAAATGCAAATAATATGGAAATCTATCATAAATGTGTTAAAATATTTGTGTTAAAGTAGGATTACACACAAACTCCTCCAGGTACTGCCAAATTTAGCAGCTCTAAAGCTTTTTTTTTTTTTTTTTTTTTCCCAAGCAGTTGTTTCAAGAATATTAAATTGAGTAGGAGTGTCTGGTATAGATAAACATTTTTTTTTCTTTCTTTTTCTTTTTCTTTTTTTGTTATACCCTTCACAAAATTCAGATGATAATATGGAATTCTATCAGAAATATTTTAAAATAGTGTTACACATCAATCGAATGACTTAAAATGGGCTTAAACACAAAATCCTCCAGGTACGGCCAAATTTAGCAGCTCTGAAGCTTGTTTTTCTTTTCTTTTTTATTCAAACTAATCTTGTAGTGACCGACTGGAATGGACATTTGAGGTTTAGTGTCTTACCCAAGGACAATTATAAATGTTTTAAAGTGAATTTCACCTTTCTATCTTCTGATTAGGGGGTGAATTCTTACAAACCAGAAACTCCAAAATTGTAAAACCAAGCCACGTTCACTAACAGATGAACAGATACACTTAGAGATTAGAATATAGCGGAGACGTTTTTTATTTAACTATAAATTTATGCTTTTGCTGCTTGTCCACTACTATTCTCTGTCCTCTGTTCAAATACTAAGATAGTAAACGTCATCCTAGCATGTGTAAAATATTGTACAGAATGGGCCAATGGCAAAACTGCATAAACTCTTAATATAAACACCCGGATGAATGTTTGACGCCAACGCTAACCCTGTATCGTAAAGTCGTAGCGGAAACACGACGCGAGCTTCAGCTTCAGCGTACAAGACGATGTAGAGCGTAGATACGGCTGGCTTCACTGAGCGGGACTCGTGTTTCGAAATACTCCCTTCAAACGGCAGGATTTAAAGTGAAAGTTTCCCATCTCGTAATGTCATTTGTGTTTGTTTTTTTTTAACTTTCCAGGTCATGCACTATATTTGAATGTGTTTGTTTACGAAGATCCATATAGTTTGACCCCCATGAAAAGCATAAATGTAAAGATAAGAAGGTAATTGTTGATGATTGTTGTTTTGAGAATATTCAATTGCGTAGGGGTGTGTGGTATTGATAAAAAATGAATTTCCCAATGTTTTTTTTTTTTTCTTTTCTTTTTTTTATTATAACATTGACAAAATTCAGACAATAATGTGGAAATCTGTCAGAAATGTGTTCAAATATTTGGGATTTAAGTGTTGCACATCAATCGAGCGGACTTAAAGTGGGCTTAAACGCGAACTCCTCCAGGTACTGCCAAGGAAGACGTTTGGAAACATGCGATGACGATTTCCGGTGGAGTTCCCGACGCTGGGCTCGCCGACCGACCGATAAAACCGATTAAAAAATAAACTTAGTCTGCGGTAAAACGAAAACTGCATGGGAATCATCTCGAATTTGGCGCCTCGTCTCTTCTAATCGCGTGTACCCAGTGCGCTCGGAGTTGTGCGTCAGTGGGGAAATGACGAAAACTGAGGTGTGGTTGGAATAGAGGCTTTGCACCGTCACGTGTTCCTGTAGCAACGGTACCTACGCCGCCATGACACCGGGCACACTGTCATTGACTTCAGCAGCATCGGAGAAACATGGGCAGGTTTTGTTGTGTATTTGGTTGTTCTAGACGCTCTGAAAGGGATAAAACAAATCGTTTCTTCACTGTTCCTCTGGAAATGACTCATCAGGATCAAACAAGGGAATTATCGAAAAAAAATGACACGGATTATAGCTAGAGAACATAAACCGCAAAGAGATTTCCAATGGTACCATCAAGACACCTGAAGTTTCATCAAGGTATTTGCTATTTAAATTGTTTCATAGCTTATTTAATGAAAGAAGCACATTTACTGAACAAAAATTTTAATAAATTAATTTATCCAGGAAAACCCGCTCTAGTTTACGATTCAACAAACTCACACTGGGCTCCTGTGATCAACATGACGCACGAGTCGAAGAGTCTGTGACCAAACCTCGAAAGAATCGGCCATGAAAAGATTCTCGCGAATGTTAGAAAGATCTGCTCACAAAAAGAGATTCATTCTAGAAAACATAGTTGTGGATAAGCAAGACAATGAAGAAAACATGGGTCCTACGACGAGTGACATGTTTATATGTGCGCTGGAAGATACAGTTTCTACTGCCACTCACACTGCAAATGTCTTTTTTAATTTTAGTTCAGTAAATGTGCTTCTCTCATTAAATAAGATATGAAACAATTTAAATAGCAAATACCTTGATGAAAGTGACGTGAGTGAGTCTTGATGGTACCACAGGAAATCTCTTCGCGGTTTATGTTCTCTAGACATAATTCTCGTTTTTTTCCCCCAATAATTCCCTTATTTGAGCTCCTGATGAGTCATTTCCAGAGGAACAGTGAAGAAACGATTCGTTTTATCCCTTTCAGAGCGTCTAGAACAACCAAATACACAACAAAACCTGCCCATGTTTCTCCGATGCTGCTGAAGTCGATGACATATCGCTACAGTGACACCGAGATTAAGAAAACTGGGCCATTTTCAAATTTTTCCTACATTTTGTCAGACTTACTTAGAAGTTGTCATCGCATCTTTCCAAACGTCTTCCTGGTTTGTGACGTAAACGTGAATAGAGCCAATTCAGCCGCTCGAGACGGGAAAAGGGGCGGAGTCTGGACAAACACAGCAAGAAGTGGAGCGTTAAAATTGACTCACAGAATCAACTTTAACATTTTCTCAGAGTTTATATGAGTCCAATCTGTTCTAGAGTTAATTTAACATTTTTGGAAATGTTAATTAAGTCACACTGGACTAAAGTTCCTGTTTAACCCCAAAAATCCAGAGTTATATTCACGTTTTGAGAGTAAACAGATAACATTTATTAACATTATTCTGATTGAACAACACACAGAGGTGTTTTATTTTAGTTTTATTTTATTTTAGCTTATTTAAGATGAAATTATGTACAAAACTGGTTCAAACTGGTCTTCTTTCACAAGAGTTTGAAGTGGTGAATGGGAGGAGCCAAATTAACACTAGAGGAAGTTGAATTAACCTCAACCACATCAACTCTGACAAATAACCCCGACTCAAACCCCCGTTTAACATTCAAATAATTAAAATAACACTTTTGGTGTTAAAAAACAACTCTGACATATTTTACCTTCAAATTTTAACCCTCCAGTATTTGCTGTGTAAGGAAATATGGATATAAGGAGCTGTGTGATTGATCGAGCGGGTTTATACGCTTCAAACTCCGCCCCTGCAGCCAGTTTGTTTGCGTTCGTCATCAGAAACAC